CCCCCCGCCCCCCCGCGCCCCTGCTGTTCACAGTGAGTGCTGTACTGTAGGACTGACACACATCGCGGACAACCATATGCTCTCCGCTGTTTTACGGGTTTGATGGCACTCTCCACCACCTCTCTTGAGGGCTTGATGATGTGAATTGTCCTCAGAGATCAAAGACAGAAAAAAGAAAATACGAAGTACTTGTTGTAGTCTAAGGGATAAGAGAAACGGGAGGATGAGACAGTCCAAAGGAAGAATAAATGTCATTTACGAAATGGACGACTTGGGCCGGTACTTCGACCCGAAAGAAGGGAGGGATTGGTGAGGCTCGAACCGATTTTGACGTTTCTCAACTGCGGGCGCTTATCTGTAGGATCGAACGTCCTCCAAGCGAGAGGTAACCTCGCCCTCGGTGAGGGACGAGGTTATGCGCGACTCTTTTGTCGGCGGCATCAGATGGACTGCCGGTAGATGGGAGGAATCTATCCATAATACCAACACCCAAGTACAGCTGCAGCAGCAGACCGCTCGCTACTTCTGCTGTCCGTGCGTCGCTACTTCTGCACTCACTGTGGTGCGTGGTGCGTGCAAAGAGCGGCCCGCAGGCCCGCAGGACACACAAAAAGGGTGGTACGCGGCATAAAAATGAGGGTACCCCATTATCGTATATTCTGCCGGGTCCCCGGTGCTCAGCAAACAGGTTTCCTTTTAAACGGGGAGCTTCCTTAACGCGAGCGTCCTTAAAGCGGGGTCGACTGTACTGCACACCTTGATTTGTTCATTTCGGAAGGCTTCGATCAGTTGGGGCATAGCAACGATCTCGGGGGCCCGCTTGTGCGGCTTACTCTGCTTATTGCACGCCTGGATCTGTTAATTGCGTGGTACATCGTTCTAATATATACATTGCACACCTTGTTTATTTCGGAGGGTTTCGACGAGTCGCTGCTGGGGTCGTTGAAGGTGACTGGGGTACCCTGGCTGGAGGGTGAAATCTAGTTGCCGGTTAGTGGGGCTGGGTCACCGGGTCGTGGTGGGACAACGGTGGCTTCAGTCTCGGTGATCCTTACGGCTTCGAGTTGGGCTTGCACTCGTTTCTGGACTATATCCTCCACTTTTTGTTGTACCTCTCCGGCCCCTGTACCCTCTGGCCTCTGGAGAGGTACAACAAAAAGTGGAGGAAATAGTCCAGAAACGAGTGCAAGCCCAACTCGAAGCCGAAGGGATCACCGAGACTGAAGCCACCGTTGTCCCACCACGACCCGGCGACCCAGCCCCACTAACCGGCAACTAGATTTCACCCTCCAGCCAGGGTACCCCAGTCACCTTCAACGACCCCGAAAGCGATTGGTCATAGCTACGATTTCGGGGTCCCAGTTTTACGGCTCGATCTGTTTTTGGCATCCCATTAATCTGCTTACACACCTTGGTCTGTTCATTGGCACACCTTGATCTGTTTATTTCGGAAGGCTTCGACGAGGTTGGTCATCGCGACGATCTCGGGGTCTTGCTTGTACGGCTTGGCCTCCTGGCTGTCGAACGGGTCTATTTCGCTCTTGTGCAGGATGGAGGCCATCACCAAGTACTTGAGAACCTTTCAGAATGGACGGTTTTTGGG